CCTCCGCGCGGGGCGGAGCGGGGGGATGCTGCTCTCCCTGGGGAAATGTCCCTCCCGAGACCCCACTGCGGGGTTCGGTGCCTGCAGTGGCCCCGCACGCGTTCCCTGGGCCGGGCGCAGTGGGTTTGCGGTGTCCCCGGGGGGTTGGTGCTGGTTTTCTCCCTGCGGAGTGCAGTCCCCACGCTGCCCACCCGCGGCTTTGTGTGCTCTTCGAGTCCTGCTCTTGAAAATGATGGTTTAAAAATGTTTTTGTCAAAGCCGAATCTATACTTTTGGGAGCTGCTGTGTCTCTCAGAGTGCTCCTGAACTTCGGCCAGTGTCCCGGACCCGTAGAGCCGCAGGGCACAGCTGGTGGTCTGAGCTGCTGATGCAAGGGCATCGGAGTCGTTTTCAAGCTGGATGTAACCATGTGCTTTTCTCAGTAAACCTATGATAAAAGCAAGTTTAAGCGGCCTAAATATGGGGAAGGGGCAGGAATCATTGCTGCTTTTCCTTATGAAAATCTGGAGGCAGAGTTGGACCAGATGGCTCAGAGCATCCTGCTGAGAGTGAAGGTGCAGAACCTGCACTGCTGTCTGCCCTGCTCCTCACCCCATACTCCAGATCACTGTACTCTCCGAAAAATTACTCCTTTCTTTTGGTAGTTGTCTACTGGCTCAATGATCTAGATTAAATTAAAACCATCCTTGGAAGATAACATGGGATTTTTTTTCTCTTACACACTGTGCGTATGCAAATGAAAACAGGAGCAGGAACTTTCTGTGTGTATTGGTACGGGATAGAATTGTAGTTACAAATTTTTTGATGCTAGTTGCCCTTGCTTTCATCTCAATATACTTCTTTCCAGACCATGATACATTTTCTGGGAATTGCTCATAAGATTTGGACAATGGTGTGATTCTTGGGGCTGTCTTGTGTCAGGGCCAGGAGTTGGACTTTGGTGATCCTAGTGGGTCTCTTCAAACTCAGAAGATTCTGTGATTCTGTTCTATGATCTTTCACTGTGAAATTATGCTTAGTTTTGCTCTTACTTGCATTTTTGAGTATGGTATTAGGCAAGCTCCTATTGGCAACTGCCTTCAGGCAATACAGACAGCTGAGCATGTGCAATGCCCTGTCAATTCAGGGCCATAAATCTGCAGCCACTCTTAGTTGATGAAGTATACAGTGTAATAGGCTAACAACCTCACATGTATCTGGTGTAATGGTTTGGTTTATAGAAGTATTTCTAAAATGCTGGTTTTCACTGAGAGACACTTATATTCTTGTGCTTTTATTTGCAGATGTCAGAAGATCAGCATGTTGATCACTCTACTGAAGAGGGAGGTGATGAAGTTGGCTATGATATAGTTGATGCAAGGCCGGACAGAAGTAGCAGATTCTCACTTTTTGCAAAGTAAGTTGTGACTTTTATTCCTGTTCTTGTTGCTGGCTTAGCTGTCATGCTTCCCTTCTAATCATAGCAACATAGAAAGGCTTGATTTGGTGTTCAGTTTGCCATGACCACAATGTCATGGATGGTCTGGATAGGGAGATGGTTTATGTTGTATGGATTTAATATATCTGGTCTGTGCCTTAAAGCATTCCTCTAAAGTATCTCCCTATAGAGAGACCTATAGTATCTCCCACAAGTTATATTTGGCAGTCAAGAGACCACTGAGTTCATTTAGCATCAATTATAGTCCCTCATCTTAAACATTGCCCTTTGGTGAAGCTGGGAATTAAATATGCCATTAATTATCTATTTTACTGCATTCAGCTCAGCTAATCTCCAACATCATTGGAATCCCCTGCTGACTCTTTAAGTTAGTTTAAAGCCTGGATGTGCCATCTAGGCTGTAGCACAAAGAAGCCTCACCAAGACTAGAGATATAACCCCTTACAGAATACATTAAAAGCCTTTCATTTTAAAGCATAGTAGTCTCACTGAAGCATGAGCTTACCCTCATTAAATCGATAGGAAGCAAGAACTATTTGCTGCTTGTCTGTACTCCTGAAAACACTAGATAAATGTGATTGAAAATGCAAAAGGTGAAAAATGAACGTGCAAAGTTTACAAACACTATTGAATGTCAGTAAATGGCTATTTCACATTGGATTTAGCGAGGTTTTGTAAGAGGTATTTAATACAAAGGCTAATGTATTTACAGAGATATTTTATTTTTTTTACTATTGGACATTTACATTCAAGTGAACACTGTCAGAGAAAGTACATGAAGAATATACTTTTATTTTGGCAGTTTATTCTATGAGTTTAATAGGGGTAACAAATCTGTGAGAGAAGTGAAGATGCTTTAGCCTTGGAAGAGATTTGATGTGCTGTTAAGGAAAGCACTGTATTTTGTCTCATTTTATCATTCCTCAAATATGTTTCATGATGTGTATTATTAATTTTAACAAATGTTGTAACATTTGTTCTGAATCTTTCCAAACATTTTTCAAAGGTTTCTTTTAAACTTTATAAAATATGTGGTTTGATATTTGAATTGGTCTTCTTTATAGGAGGTGATATGCTAATACTGTTATTAAATTATGCTACTCAAAGTTAATAATTCCCGAAGGAAAAGCAATAATCAGCATTTCTATCACTTTTTTCTATAAGAAATTTTTCAAATAATTTGGTTTTCATCAGTTTGAGGCATTCATCTTTTGGGAAGTCCTTGAAGATACAATTTGAAACATTTTTCTTCAGAAGTGAAAAAATGCTCAGATTAACTATGAGGTAGTTGAGAAGATTCAACTTAGATTTTGTATGGAAAAAAAAAGTCTGAGAAATCTGAGTTTCTTGTGGAAGGTGATGATTGTCTAAAGAGGAATGAGGTGCTTGACAAGAAGTTCTTAAAAATCCGAGCACAGTGACAAGGTCTTTGTCTTATAGAAACTAGAACTCTTTGGCCTGAAGGAAGATAGGAGAGGAATGCAAGAGGGTGAAGGAAAATGGGGTATGAGCTCAAATTATGACTGTAATGGAGGAGGAAGTGAAGAGAGAATGATCATTCCTTGTGCCTCACAGGAAATTTAGGGGACACCCAATGAAAAGTTCATGCAGTAGGTTTAAAACAACCAGTCAGATGTCATTTTCACATAGTGCAGAATGCCATTGCAGAACATAAAGTCACAGGACATGCAGATGTCAAGATTTGAGATAAATTAAGAAGAGATTAGATGTATTTGTGGAAGAAAAGTCCAGTGGGAATACTGCTGTTAAAATCTTGGTTGCAAGATGTTCCTAAATCATGTTTCTGTGAGAATATATTCTGTATCCATTTTCTTTTGTTTGCTTTCTTCAGACTCATCACTAGTCAGTACCAGATACTGGGCTAGATGTACTCTTAGTTGAACCAGTGTGGCTCTGTGTCTTGATTTCCAAGGCTTCATTTTGGCAACATGAAGTAATAGCTGTAAAACAAGATGTCTGTAAAGCTTTAGTGACTACAGTTTTATTGACCCTTTTTTTGTTGTTTTAGCAACCTGGTTTTTATCAGCTGTGCAGTAATTTCAATGAAATCCTGCATTGCAGTTTATTTACTGTTGCTTAAAATGTGTAAGTTCAATAGGAAAACAAGTAACTTGTGTTGGTAAACAAGTACATTAATTAGTTTTAATATAAGACAGAGCAGTGAGAAACTTAATTTAAAGCTGCTCAGAAAGATCAACTGTTTCCAGTTCACAGTTTCAATTTGACACTTTCTGGCTGTGACTGGAGATCTGTCTCACAAGAGCAGTAACTAGAAATAAATGAAAATCTTACTCACTACAGCACATTTCTTTCTGAGAAGTCTGTGAGGGTGCTTTACCATGCAGGCCACGAGACTGAACAAGCCACAGTAGGCAGGTTCTTCTGACTGCTCAACGATTTATGGGAGTTATCTCCTATGTATTTCCTTCTCTTTGAAAAAATGCTGGTACTTAGTTGGTAAGGAAAAACTATTTGGTGGGGAGAAGAGTGGAAAAAAATTCACATCTGCCACAGTGGTGTTTGGTTCCAGGGTTTTTTTAACCACTAGATGGCAGGAAGGTATCAATTTTGTTTACTGCAAAAACTGGAGAAAATTGGGTGTGTTGCAGTTGAGCAAAAAGTAAAGTTTCCAAAAGCAGAAATGGCAGGATACACTCTGGCAAGCCTGCACACAACAGAAATTTAAAACATGGTTAAACAAAGATTAAGCTGAGGATTCCAAACGTGTATTTTAGTTTTTAATGTAATAGTTGGAAACTATTAGAATATTTCCCATAGGAATTTTTATTTTCTATGCTGTGTGTGTTCCTGTTACACTTTCAAGGCTTTAAAACTAGTCTCACTTTTCCACAGGATGATTTAATATCTTAATTTGATATCTTTTGTGTTTTATTGTGGAACTCTGTTAGGGAGATTGATAGCAGCAAACCTATTTTAGCATCCAGGAAACATAATGTAACATGAAATGGAATAGAATTGTGGTTCCACTGTGTTAAGCAGAGCTAAGATTTCTCTTACTCCTCATTAAAGTTGGGGTTTTTTCAAAAGCTACATCCAAAAATTCCCAAGGCTTGGGTAGACTCACACTTGAGCTGTCAATAATCTTGACTGCTCATGGTCTTCAGCGAAGAAACATAATGCAGAGGAGAGTGATTGTTAGTAGTATCAACATACCACTTTTTTCCTAATTTAATTGTATAGAACCATTTCTCCTCTAGTTACTTTTATCTACTCCATCCCTATTGTCTTTTTTTTTACAGTTAATATTTCCCTTCTCATCTGGCAACAGAAAACATAATTTAAATAGCCGTTCTTATAAATGCCTAGCTGCAATTGAAACTGTGTGATTCTGTAGTGCCCTTAATGCAGACACATGAAATACATTGTAAGAAAATCCCACTGAGGAACTGAAGAAGATTGTAGGGTACATGAACAGATAGTCCCTGAGAGTATTTCAGCTGTTTAACACTGCAAACCCAAAATATCTGTAAGATACTTATTTCTGTCAAGCCATACCACTATAAAGTTTGAAATTTGAAAGTTTCCTGGAAATAGCAGTGTGCATCTTGCCTCCTGTAGTTCAAAGATTGTGATGATTATATTGTTATGATATCTACCAGGTTTGTACATTAGCATGTAAGTTTTCTTTTCATGTGTGCAGTGTTTATTTGGCTTACAGGGCATCAAAGTGAGGAAGCACAGATGTTACCAAAGCTGTCTATTTTAACTTCATGACCTTTATCTCAGTATAGCCATATTTCTCAAAATAAATAGCCTCATCCTTCAAAGAAGGAATATTATTTTTTGAGATTCAGCCTCAGCTGAACCTCAGTTTTGGAGCTGTAACAGGTGTGGAAAGTTGTCTTTGTTTCAGCTTTGCTCTTCTGTTGTTCCTCTGTCTTTTGGGGAGCTATTTTCCATTCACTAACAGCTTGTTTTTATTTGTTTTATAAAAGAAGCTGCTTTGCAGGTAGAACTTTATGAAGAACAGTTTCACAGTGATGCAGATGCATATTTTCAGAGTTGTCCATTTTGGATTTTTTTGGCCCATTTTAAAACCATGGGCCTGGTCTGTGATGGGGATGCCTTAGCTGGACACCAGGTGCTCACCAAAACCACTTCATCACTCCTGTCCTCAGCTGAATAAGGGAGAGAAAATACAATAGAAATACAAAAGAAATGTACCCCTTTTATTCTCAGATAGACTAAAAATAGCAAGTTACTTTAAAGCAAGTAACAGCTGATGAATCATTATCTGAAGTTATGCTTGGGGCTACAATTCAGATGTCTGAAATTACCTCCTGTTTCAGCCTCATGTTTCCTTTATGTTTCTAAGTAAATCACTGTGCAGATTAGTCTGACCTGTAAATGGGCAGTGATCTTTCCTTTCACTGTCATAAGTCCAAAATCTATCACAATATACTTTGAATTTTGTTTGGAGTTTGTTGGCTCTGCTTAGCACAACCTAAATACCAATACTTTGTGTTCACCCCAAAGCACTGAACTTAAAATTTCAGGAGTAATCTATAGTCTGTTAAAGTTCCTACAAAAACAATAGATTGTAACATGGAACAACAGGGATGGGGTTTTTTTGTTCCTCTATTTTAAGCCATTTTAATATTTTTTTTAATGCAATTTTTGTTAGTTCTGGTACTCAGCTTCTGGAGAACTCAGTGGGAGTATTTAACAATGAGTAAAATTTGTGGTCAGTGCTTGTACTTTCCCTTGGACACTTACTGGATGTACCATGTAGGAAATGCCCAAGTATCTTGAAATAGTATCTAGTCAGAATTATAATATCTCATTAATTCATAGCCAGTGTTTGTTTCCAGTCTCCTTAGAGACTTTATCTTGTGAAGCACAGCAAACACTGAGTTAGGCAGGAACTGTATCTGTAGCAATCACGGTCAAGTATCATAATTACTTTTTAGTGTAGT